TCGGAAGGAACAGGGGCGCAGGGCCAGCCAATGCTGGGTCTAAACCACGCTGGGAGCAGCTGAGCTCTGCTCGGGCCAGCCTGGACCCAGCCAAACCCATGCTGAAAGGCCCAGCAAGAACCAGAGGGGGAGTGAAATCTGGAGGGTGCTGCGGGGTGAAGGGCACCAGCCCATCTTACTCCAGAAGGAGCGTGGGTCACTTGGGGATTTTTGAATATATATATATTTTTTTTAATAAAGAAGATGGTGTTGTAGCCTTTTAGGAAAACCTTTACTTTGGTACTTTATTTTTTTTTTTTTTTTAAGATTTTATTTATTTATTTAACCACACGAGTTGGTTGGGGGAGGGGCAGAGGGAGAGGGAGAAGCAGCTAAGCAAGAAGCCTGATGGGGGGTTCCCTGCCAGGACCCTGGGATCATGACCTGAGTTGAAGGCAGACGCTTAACTGACTGAGCCACCCAGGCGCCCCTGCTTTAAGTACTTTAAATAAGAACCTCAAACACTCTAAATCCTAGATCAGGTTGTAGTGTTAAATAATATGTAATTGAAATCATAAATACCATAGATCCCTTCCCCTATAACCCTGTTAACTCTAAAACACTATAAAAAGGCAAGGTACCATTATATTTAAATACCAGTACCAGTCCCTCTCGGAGCTATGATTATTAGAAACCTGCACTGCGGGGCGCCTGGGTGGCTTAGTTGGTTAACGTCTCTTGATTTCAGCTGGGGTCATGATCTCAGGGTTGTGAGATTGAGCCTCACGTCGGGTTCCCCATTCAGCTCAAAGTCTGCTTGAGACTCTCTCTCTCTCCCTCTGCCCCTCCCCACCACACTCGCACATTCTCCCTCTCTCTCTCTCTCAGACAAATAAATAAATCTAAAAAGAAAGAAAGAAAGAAAGAAACCTGCACTGCCCCACCCCTTCCCCTCCCCTCCCCCTGGCTTGGTTTTTACAAATCTGCACAAACTGCCATGTCCATCTCCACTCTGTCACAGAGTGAACAAGCCCAGTATGCACATGCTGCTGAATGAATGAATGAGTGAATGAGTTCAGGGATACCCAACACCTCGTTGGAGCTTTTCCTGAGGTTTTATCACTCATAAACACTGCTCAGTTTTAGAAAACAGATCCATCTCTTGTGCGAATTTATGAATTCATGGGGGAGAGGCATTTTTCAGAAAAATATCAAGCCATAAAGAAATTGGGAAGGGAGAGAAGTGCTTTGAAAGCTGTCTGCTGAGTATGAACACCCTGAAAGGTACAACCACCCTAGGTTCCCCAAGGAGGGAGGGGGTACGGGGCGTCATCCTCCCAACTTCCTAAAGCCCAGCATCCCTGCCGCACATGCAGAGTGTCAAGACCTTCCCGTTCCCTTGGCGAAGCACAGGCCAGGGAAGAGAGCGGGACACAGTGCAGGTCCACTGTTGGAGCTTCTGAGAAAACATGTCTGTCCCTAGGGCCATCACCACAGCAGGAGGGGAGGGCGCTAGGACCCCGCCCCAGGTGGGTCCTCAGGCGCCAGCTGACCTGAGTGGGGAGAGCAGGAAGTAAACAGCACCAGGCTGCTCTAGGCACTTGAATACAGTGGGGAGAAGACAGACAAGGATCTCAGACCCACGGAGCCTTCGTGATAGAGGGAAGACAAGACAGTACAGAAAGGAAATAAAGAAATCCTACACACAAGAGACCAGAGAAGTTTTAAGTGCTCTGGAGAGATCCAGCTGGATAATCCTAGGGAAAGAATGAAAAAACAAGCCAGCACAGAGCCTATTTAAAATAATGGAGGGGCGCCTGGGTGGCTCAGTCAGTTAGGCGTCCAACTCTTGGTCATAATCTCAGGGTCGTGGGATGGAGAGCCCCATGTCGGGCTCCACGCTCAGCATGGAGTCTGCTTGAGATATTCTCTCCCTCTGCCCCTCCCACTCGTGCTCTCTCTCTCTCTCTAAAATAAATAAATCTTTAAAAATAAATAATAAATAAAGCAATGGAGGCAACGTAAGATTCATACGGATCCCACCACCGCCTCCGTTCACTGTAGAGATACACCCTCGACAGACTCCCTGCTGGACCAGACAGGGCGAGTTTTATTGTGAAACTCGGTTGGGCTCACTTCTCCCCCTGCCTCCGTCCTCCTCCACTTTTTAAAATTAGTGCTTTGGAACTTACTCCTGGTTTTACTTCCCCTGTAGCCAGACCCACTGGAGAATACACAGGCCCCGCAGTCAGAGACCTGGGTCTGCGCTCTGGCCCCGTCCGCACCAGGCCGGGCAGCGTGGGCAAGCTGCTGCGTGCCCTCCCAAACCACAGCCCACACATCTGGAAGGAGGGGGACAGTCATGAGGCTCAGGGTGATAACCCAGACGAGGTCTGGGCGCCACGGGCCTCACGGATGCTTGCTTGCTTCCCAGCACTGTCTGCCTTCTCGGGCGGGCTGGCTGGTGAGGCACTCACTGCATGTTCTAGGCTTCAGGACACGAACCTTCAAGGGGTCATATGCTGGGTGTCGGGGTGGGGGTGCAGCGAGGGGCTGCCAGAATCTGGAAGCTCTGCCTGTAGGATGCGGATGGGCCAGGGCAACCCAACCCCGTGGCCTTCCAGTGTTCACCTGGACTCCCAGGCTCTCCAGGTGTGAGCTCCCCTCCCTCCCAGCCTCAAGCCCAGAAGAACTGGCCTGCCCCTCATGCACTACTCTCCCACCACCTGGCCTTCCTTCGGCTCTTCTCTCCAGGCTGTCCTCCCCACCAGCAACCCCCACCCCCAAACTCCACTTCAGGTGTCAGCTTCCCCACTGACCCCCACCTAGGCTCCCACAGAACCCACACTTCCATTTCTCTGCTTAGCACACTTGCAAAGGCTTGTTTAACAAGCTGCTTTCCTTCTCCATGCCTGTTCCCTAAAGAAGCTCATCCGTCTTTGTCCCTGTGTGTCCCCCACACACTTTACAGGGCCTGGCCCTAAGCAGGCCCTCCACAGAGATCTGGTGGACTCAACTGAATCTAAGGATGCACGAGCATGATGCAGGGAGAGCGTCCAGGAGACCTCAGAATGTTGGTCCAAGTCCCAGCTCAGCTGTGGGGGGGGCCTCAGCTTCCCAATTAGTACAATGTGGTGGCAGAGTGGTGGAGGGAGGTCCGGCCGACCTGTAGGCCCCTCTTACCCCCAACACATAAAGAATATGGCAGAAGAATGGACATCTGTTTGCCTGCTGGGCTCTCGCCTAGGGTTTTAGCCTGAGGCTGGACAAATCAAATTGCACAGTCCAGCATTTATGGACAGTGGCCGCTGGGCCCTGTCTTGGGTGCTGGGGCCGAAGGAAAACAATGAGCACTCCTGTCTCCAGGGTGGAATCCCAGCTTTCCAGGGCAGGCAGACTCACCTGCTCACTTTTCCCCAGAGGCCATTCACCGCCTAGTAGGCTCAGACAAAGTCATCCAGGGAAGAGAAGAAGCCCAAAGGAAGCAAATGCCAAGGGTCCTGCTTGGGAAGGCTTTCTAGGCTGACCTAGGAAATTCAAGCTAAAGGGAACCTATCTTAGCATCCACCCTCAACCTCACAGAGAGGAAGGTGGTAGAAGGAAGGCCCCGCTGCTCCATCTTGGGGGAAGTGTGTCTGAGTCAGGAAAAGGCTCTGAACACACCAATGACGAACATTCTCCAAGCTGTTGTCTACAAACACATGCGTAACAGCTGCTGGCTTCATGGAATCCAGGTTTTGGAGACAGGCTCAAAAGCTGGCAGCCCACGAGCTGCTTCTGCCCATGGATATGTTTTGTTTGGCAGGCAAGGTTTTACATTTTTTTATAAATTAGTTCCAACATTTATTCCTAAGAATCCAAACGTCCAACTTCTCTGGAAAACCAGGCAGCGCTCGGCTGAAGATGGAAGAAGGTGCCTTAGGAAGAAAGGCCCGCCCCTTAAGGTTCTGGAGGCGAGGGTGGGCAAGCGAAGACCTGGGTGGGCAGAACTCAAAGCACGGAAAGCCCAGACAGCCACAGGCCCCAAAGTCAGCTAAAGAATCAGCCACAGCTCCTAGAGGCGGGGCCAGCTACCCACAATGGTCCCAGTCCCCACCACTCCCTATAGCCTCACACCAAAAGCTTCATGGATTCATGTTTACTCACCGGCCCCTGTAGGCATTTAGCTGGGAGCCTCTTAGACATACACAGGCATAGGCCTCACAAACGTACCCAATCCATAGGCCTTCCTCCCCATAATCTCCTCCACCTCCCCTCGCACCCAGCCTTCAAGGACAGAAAGTCTGCTGACATCAGAATGAAAGGTTACCTCCTGCAAAGAGCACACATCTACCCAGGAGAACAGTCAGAAACTTTCTGTGCGGGATGCCTGCCAACTACAGGATGTTTTGTAAAGATACATTGAATAATTGACAATCTATCTGATTCGAGTTGTGCTTTTATCGCCACACATCTGTTTATCGTTTTACTACATCCGTACAAAATGCCGACATGTCAAACTCTGGGGAAGCATCCTCATAACTTATTCATGAAGGAAAAAATCGGGCGCAATGATAAACTCGAAATGACAGAAATCGTTATTTTTACTTTAACTATTTGTCCATTTAAACAGCTCCATTTAAAAATTAACACACTTTGGGGTGCCTGGGTGGCTCAGTCAGTGAAGCGGCTGCCTTCAGCTCAGGTCATGATCCCGGGGTCCTGGGATCAAGTCCTGCAACGGGCTCCCTGCTCAGCAGGGAGTCTGCTTCTCCCTCTGCCCCTCCCCCCAGCTCGTGCACACTCTCTCTCCCCCTCTCTCAAAAATAAATAAAATATTTTTTAAAAAATTAACACACTTTTTAAATTATTAATATTTGATCAACACAAGATACCTAATTTGAAGCTTCAGTCTTTCCCTAAATCCAATATGGCTCAGATTTCTTCAGGCAATTTCAAAGTCTATTGGAAAGGCAGCTGTAACTTTATAATGAGAGGAAAAAAAAATTATCAAGAACGTGATCACAGACTGGAAGACATACCTGCTTCTTATCCTGTGTTTTCTTAAAGTCTTCACATGCTAGCCAAAATAAAACATTTTCTTCACTGAATTCCTTTTTTAAAAATTCCTATGGATAAAAAGAAGAAAAAACATCAAGCAGTATTCCACTTTAAGGTAAGAAAGAAACAAATAATGCATTTTCCTTCAAGGGCTGGTTTGGCAAAATGCAACTAATGAGTATGGTTCAGTCACCCTTCGAAAACTCCATCCTGAAAAACAAAGCGTATGTTTAATGTTAAAGCTAGAATTCCATATGCATTTGAACTTAATGACTTGGACATCATCAGGAAGAGTAAAAATGAAGCAGGAATCTCCTCACAAGTCTAAGCTGACAATAAATTACCAAAGAGTAAATTTAAGTGGGAGATATATTAGTTCCTTCCAGACAGTGTTTAAACAAAGTACATTCCTCTAAAATCAGGCCCATTTTTTTTAAACAAAAGAAAAAAAAAACATATTAAGCATGTCTAAAAATGTCACGATGAAAACTATTTTAAGTTGGAGGTGTGTTTTCTTTTGTCAGCTGTTTGGGGGTTAGCAGCACAGCCCGCCATCCCGCTGTGTGCAGAATGGGGCCCTTCCCGAGATCTAGATGGTGCTCCCAGTGGCCTGGTGTCCAGGAATGTTAGTAGCCCAGCCGGCCACCCCCCTCCCTTGGCGCTGCAACAGGGACCAACAGCATCAGGGCTTATGCTGACCTGAGCCAAGACTTAAAGACAGAAGGCAGTGGGACTCAGGCAGATACGGGGCATTCTCGAAATTCACATGTGGTTCTTCTGACACCTGGGGTTTCTGCTAGCCAAAACAGTTCTTTCTAGGCAGCGCCGACACGCCCCATCCATCAGCCCTCCTCTTGGAGTTCAACTTCACTTCTCCAGCTGTTGTCCACCTCTCTCACCGGGTTAATAAGGAGTCCCGAGAATCCCCGACACACAAGAGAACCAACTTTCACATCAGAGAGACCCAGACCACCCCCTCCCAGCTGTCACAGAGCTAGAAATTCTTTGTGGATTCTGCCAATGAGCAAAGTGCCTCTTTTCCCATCACCGCCTCCCCCTCCCATCCAACTATATAAAAACCAGAAACAGTCGGTGCGTGCCCCTCAGCTCTGGTCCAAGGCTATCCGCGAGAGCGTCTCCACCTTGGCCATGGCAAGTGAGAAGTCCTTATTCTCAGGTTGGGACACACACAGTGAAACCAGCCTGTGTTTCCCCCACAGATGTCTACACTTCTTCATGTGCTGCATCGATCCCGGTCAACAATGAAAAAGGCAAACCCTAAATCTTTTCACGCCTTCTGGGTCTTCAAGCAGATTCTCCAGAGAGGCCGCCCATTTGGCTGTGCTCTTGGGGTTCTGCTGGCTACTGCTCGAACTCCCGTCGCTGCCGTGGATGTCTGCAAAGCAAAGTTCAGACTGTGTATGTGGTCCAAAGATACTTCCATGTAAAAATATCTGCAAATAATGGTCATCGTCATCACCACTGTGGCTAATACAGGTTAGGTGGCAGAATCTATTCCAGGCACTTAACACAGGGAACTCGTTCTAGTCCCGATGATAACCTTAGGAAGGAGCCACTGCCATTTCCTCCATCTTACAGCTGAGGGAAACTGAGGCGCAGAGCAATGACAAGAGGGCCGTGTCCTTGCCCACCACTCTCCATCCATCCTTCCCCCACCCAGGGTCCTCTGGCCAACCCTCAGGCAGCCCTCGAGTCTCACTCAGACCATCCTCCCCGGGACCCTGACACAATGGCAGCTGCTTCCCCATTACACTTTGTGCACAGTCTTGTAATTACCGTGCCGTCTCGTGAGAGGATTTGCACGACTGACGCACTAGTCTGAAAGCTTCTGCGTATCTTTCTGTTGTATCGGCAATATGTAGCTCATTGCTTGGCACATAAATAAAAGTTTGCACCAGGGTTGGGCCAAGGGTGGGAAAAGGGAGACACTGGCTACAGGTGCAAGGTTTCAGGGGGTTGCTAAAAAATTCAGGCATCAAGATAAATGGTATTTTCATGCAAATTTTGAAAAATCAAAATATGCAAAGAATTCCATAACGTGGGGCACCTGGGTGGCTCAGTTGGTGAAATGTCTGCCTTCGGCTCAGGTCATGATTTTGGGGTCCTGGGATTGAGCCCCATGTTGGGCTCCCTGCTCAGTGGGGAGCCTGCTTCTCCCTCTCTCTCTGCCTCTCACTCAGCTTGTGCTCTCTCTCACTCCGTCAAATAAATAAAATCTTAAAAAAAAAAAGAATTCCATAACAAACAAAATACCAAAATTGTAAATAAAGACAGGATCGGTATTACTTTTTCCTTTGCCTTCAATATGGCTCAGCATCACACCGTTACTGTGTGTGTAGATTGAATGAATGCCTCTTTGTACCCGCACATCTGCTGCCTTCTCTTCCTCAAGACACCTGAAAAGTCTCTTGACTAAAGGAAAGGGGACAGGGGACCTCCAACTAACACACTCTGACTACTTGCCCACGAGGAAGTGACAACACAACACGCCTCATTCTACAGAATTCGGCCCCTTCCTGGAGTCAAGGGAAAAAACCATGGAATGTCACTTCGGGTGGGCCCAGGTTCCAAACCCAGTTTAGCCAATTCAAACTGGGTGGTAAGGGGCAAAATTCTGTGTGCAAGATAAAGCTAATCCTCCTATCTGGCTGGTTATCCAAAAGACTAAAAGGGGAAGCACATCAGGCATCTAGAAGCTCACAGTGGACTCAACAAATGTTAGTTCCTCTCTCCTCTTGCCTAAAATAATGATTTATCAAGTGAACTCTTTTCATAGCTAATACTTTGTCTCCATTGCCTTTTTTCTTTTCTTTTTTTTTTTTAAAGATTTTATTTATTTATTTGAGAGAGAGAGAATGAGAGACAGAG